CAACTGTGTATGTCTGGGTATCATACATCCATGTTTTGTGAATCACGATTGCATACATGTATCATACATACATGAATTGTTATTCACGAATATATCGTATCACTGGTCATCGATGCATTTAGTGCGGTAAATGAATGTCACAAGGCGAACAAATTTGCATAAATGAAATGTCTAAATGTATTTCATGTGTTACTCATGCTATATGCAGCGATTGTAAGTTTTTGATATTCTAACATTCTTTTGAAATTGATTCCATTATTTAAATTAAAACATTAAATTAAGTTTCAAAACGAGATGTGTGATATATTAGTCTTTTCCTTTCTGAATTTATTCAGTTTCACAGCACATTTTTAAATATTTGATATTATAATTTAAAATTTCTATATTTCAATATTTAGTATTACAAACTGAATCATTATGCATATTATAATTTTGCTACTACGTTAAGGTTTGTCTTGTTGACATCGGTAATCCTATTTGTGTAGAATCAATTCTTAAATGTTTAAAGTGATCGTCCTTTTGTCTGGAAACATTTACTTTGTTTTGTTTAAGATACTGAATGGAATAATGGGATTCTGTTCGGAAATCCTACAAGTTAGGAATGACATGGTAGTATTTCTGAATGACTTGATGCAGCCGTTTCTTTAAATTAGCCGATCGTACGTGAGAAAAACGCTCACGATAAAAGGACTACGCTATTACTGGAAAAAGTATCCAGATTCAGCTAATTTTGGAGCGAAATTTGCTATGCAGTATGATACTGATCGCAAAAGATGTACTCGGAACAACAGAAAATGGCTGATCACTGAATAAAGTTTAAATATTGTACATATCTTTAGCATATTAATGAAATATTTCATGCGAGTGCCTCAGTTCTTTACTTCAATGACTGGAAAAACTATTTTGAAACTCACCCCTTCCTGGACACAAACATCAGGTACGGAGAGCATAATTTCCATCATTACTTCATAAAATTCATTTTTTGTCTCAAATGAAAGCTCTATATGGGAACGATGACCTTTCAGATGAATGACGTAAAGTTTTACGACGAAATTATTTGAAGTGGATACTCACTAAATTAACAATTTTATTTTAATAGTGATTAAAAAAAGAAAAGAAACATGAAGCAAGCCATTTAAACTTCTTGTGCGAATTTTTTAGCTCGTGCTCTTTCGATCCATGCTTTCTTTGCCTGTGAACGAGCTGACATAATACCACCTCCCCAATGCTTTCGGATCTCATCAGCGCGTTCATTATAATTCGCTATCACTGTGTTTTCCAGTTTCGATAAAGCTACCTTGTCTTCACTACAAATTTCAATATCAAAGAACGATATTAAAATCTCCCAAAAGGCGTTTATAAAATTAAGGAAAGTTTAATCCAAAGTTGTTACAATTGGATATGAAATATGCAACGAAGTGGAGATGCACATTTGGTTCCAACCATGCTGGACGACAAGCGTACGGACTTATGATGAATTTTATCGAGCTGTAGGCATTTTAATAATTTTTTAAAATTTTATGCACTGAGTTTTGTATTAGAATGGGAGAAATAGACTTTCACTTACGGATTTGTATCAACGATAGCAATACAAGAGGTAGTCTTTCGATGAACAACTTGGCCAAGACGTGCTTTCCCTTTGACAACACAATATGGTACCTGTAAAATTGTAGAGAGAGTTTACTTTCGAGGTTTGTAAATAAAAAGAAAATGATGAAATTAGACCAATGAAGAAATTATATGTCAGCAAGAAAATACTGAAACTCACTTTGAATTTACGGCAAAGAGCTGGAAGAAAAAGGACAATTTCAATAGGTTCAATATCATGCGCAATAGCAACCAACTGTGCCTTCTTTTGTTCTACGAGCTTCGTAACTTGGTTTACACCCGAACGAACCACTGATGGACGCTTTATTACTTCTTCACTTTTGTCTGCTGTCCGAGCTTCCGCTCGCGCCCTTAATCGCTCCGTCTTCTGGTGCTTCATTTCTGGACGATATTTATCTACCAAACGGAACAACTGCATAGCTGCAAAATATTAATTAAATGAGAGAAACCGAAAAGAATTTCTTTTATATCTTTTTTTTTTTTGGTTTTGCTAAGCCCAAATCTCAGAAGCTAACCAGTTACTATAATATTTTACAAAAAAAAAAAAAAAAAATACAAAGAAATATTATAGCTATTACATTTTTTTTAATTTTAAACACTATCAAATAAGATCTTTTCCTTCCTATCAGATCAAACCTGGACAATGATAAAAACAGATGCTCCGAAGTGAAAAGAAATGGTACAATAGGAAAACAACATTTCTGACTTCCAAAAATAGTAAACATCGAAAACACTAAACAGTGCAGAACTTACCTGTCTGTTTATCAAATGTTGTACGGAACTGATTAATTGGTGGTGGAATTTTTAAGCGTTTCATCAAAACAGCTTTCTGACGTTGTAAACGAATATATTTGGGCCATCGCACAAATCTAGTTAGATCTCGTTTTGGCTGGATGTCTTGGCCTGAAAAAAGACAAGACCATCAATTTCTCGATTCTTCATATAAGAGATCATCTTCCTCTAATTATCAAAATCCACACCTATTGAAAAATTGCGTGGTCGTTTCTCGAATAGAGGATTTTGTTCCTTCTTTGTTATTTCCGACTTCCTAACCATCGGCGGCGGAGGAGCCACCCTTTTCTTGATAATTTTCTTTGAAGGCTATAAACAAACTTAAGGCTAAAATATGGTAAAATTTATAAAAATGGTTTTCTGGAATTAAAAGGTTACCATTGTTTGAGTTCGTACTCAAACTATAACTGCTAGTAGTTCTGATAAATGGTGATTGAGAGGACAAAGGGTAGTATTTTGTCAACATTTAGTAGGTCATTGTTAAAAAATTTTTAAAAAGGAAAAAGAACTACTCAAAAGGGAAACACCACAACAAGTAATGATAAAATGTACAAAAGTGATGGAAAATTATCATTCCAAGACTGTGACAAAAGTGCCAACAACAAAATCAAAAAATATTCGAAAAAGAAAAGAAAAAAAAAACATACCATTCCCACAGCAACGGAAACCTAAAAAGAAATCGAAAATGACCGCTCAACCAAGTGTCGTCCCTAATAACAAGTGAATAATACGGCCGCAGCTCGCTTGAGTGATAACAGTAAAAATTTAAGAATTTTTCGAATGCATTTTGAGGATTGTAGAAGATTTGATAATTCTTTTGGGAGGAATTATGTATTATCAAGAATGCTATCTATGAAGAATTGTACTATTAGTTCTGCTAATAGAGGAATTATTATATTCCTGTATTACACGCATTTACACCTACATCCAGAGAATCACCCTGAGATCAACAACCTCGATAATGTGCAGATGGACAATGGAACTCCGGAAGTGGAAGTATGAGATTAATAAAGTCTTGGAAGTGTTATTCAAAAGTTGTATACTAATAAGTAGCCAGAAAGAGGCGACTGAGATTAAGGATTGCTTTCTTTAGTGTTTGACACAATTTGCAATATTCACTTCGTCATTAAAGTGTAAGTAAGTTGTGTCAGAGACTAAGAATGATATAGCAAGAATGATAATATACAAAGTAAAATCATTCCCAAATAATAGCATTCTCAACGGAAAACAAAGTTTAGTTTTTTTAAACTTATAAGATAGTTTTTTTTTTTCTTCACAGGAACTTCTAAATTGCTCGTTAATTTAGCGTGAATTTTTACTGGAGTTTCTTTTTAAAGCCTGGCTTGACTTAAAATAAGACATTTGGTAAAGCCTATGATTTAAATCACATCTTTAAACGATTGCAAGTATTTTTAACATTTCTGCTTGCATAATTTGCATTTCCTTACTCTTCTGGTTATTGTATTTCTTCTTAATGTTACATTAAGAGTTTTTTATTTATTTATTTTTTTTCCTTTTTTTCAAATTTTTTTCTTTCTGTCGGTTGTTCAATCTAATTGTTATTGTGAGTTTTTTTTTCTGTTATATTTTCTATTTCCCCTTCATGATTAAGCAAACATTATTTGAATAAGGAAAGGAAATTTTCAGATGTTTAATCTTCATTTGACATGTACATTCATTCTGCAGAATCCCAGAATATCATGTCTAGCTATTTCATGAACCTTTTGATTTTCATATAGGATTTCATATGCTCTTAAACTCACTTATTTTGAAATGAAAACAAGCACATTTCTGAAGGAACTTTTACTTGCAGATTACGTCCGATGGCGCTGAAGAACCTACAGTATCTTTTTTCTAAAAATGAATCAGCGAAACTAAAATTCTCCGGTGATATTGAGATTGTCTACTTATTGACTACTGTTTTCATTGTTGTTCATTTAAAGTTTAAAGTTTTTGGTTAGATAAATATGCTAACTTTTGTTATTTAAGATGAGTGTAATTTTCTAAGCTCTTTATATTTTCTTTTGCTACGGTAATTTCCATCGATTTCATGTCGCACTTTAATATTTCTTTACTGGAACCATTTTTTAGATGCGAATTTTTTAACTTTTAGAATAAGATGTGGAATGAGTAAGATCAACTGCTATCAGAGTAAGATATGGAATGAATTAAATACTTTTCGAATAAAAGCAACGATGGAACGATTAATATTGAATCAAAATATGCTACTAATAGGCGTATTATAGGCGTATTATCGGAAATGGATCTAGCGATACATCGAATAAGCTATCAGTGAGCTCTTATAGAAATCGCATACGGATCATATAAAAAATCGAATAACGTATACTAGCCTAGGAATCGAATATTGTTCTAGCAGTTGTTGCATTATTGTCAAATTTATTGTTTTGAACTAAAAAATCTTAAGCTGAATAACAGTTATGATTAGCTAATTTTTATTAGAGTTTGCAGAGTTTAACCAGTTTACCCAATTATCACGTCGTTGGATTGTTCTAGCAGTTGTCGCATTATTGAACAATTCAAATACAATGTCGTAGATTGTATTTGCTTTTATTTATAATTATGTCGATGTTTTCTATGGAATGGTAAGTTAGGTTGCCTATTTATTTATGGTAGTTTGAAAACAGTTTGATTTGAAGAAATTTCATTTCTTTTTATCGGAGTTCGAAGTTCGAGAGTAACTGCTTTATTTTTAAAATGAGCTATGATGATTAAAATATGAAGATCAAAGGAGATTTAACTGCTTCATGCTAAAGAGTTATTTCTGTAAATTGTTTTTATGTGTTGTATTATTTAGAATGTTTTAAATGCTTTTATTGCTGTTAACTTTCATTTCATTAATATTGCAAACATAAAGAAAAAAAAGTTTATTCTAAGATGCCTTTTTTGTTTCTTTATGTGGTATATTTTTTATAGAACAAACAGCGAATTGGTTTTCATTGGTTTTTTATAATTTGTACGATACCGATAGACTTATTCAGCATATGGATGAGTAGTTCATTCGGTCTTCGATTTGATATTCTCATCGTAGCTTGGACAAACAGCATCGGTACTACCATGCGTCTAATTAGGTGATGGGTTTCTTTTTTAGGACTGTATAATATGAGTGTACTGTTATTGAGAGATACTATACTGTATTTCATGATCTGTCAATAATTGTGGATATTCTTTTTTCTCGAAATTGGTTATTGGTTGCTTTCATTGAATTCGGATAAAGTTGAAATTTATGTTTTTCACCCACATCTTTGAATTATGGTGATGGAAACTTTTGCGTTGCTATTCTCGAAGTTTTAAATTTAAAATAGTCGTTGCAGTTAACCCCTACAGATTAGTGTTTTCCGCATTCATTTACATTTTCCACATTTTCTTCTTTTAGTTCATTTTTGCCACTGCAAATCCGTTTCCCAGTTGGGATTTTTGGACAGGCAGTGACTGCTTGTGCATGTAGTATTTTGGAAATTTTGTTACATTTTCATGCAGATCAAATTTTCTTTAGTGTTGTAGCAATATTTTAATAACCAAAAATCAACAAGAGTAAATTCAGTTGCGGGGTCATGTTTTCCTGAAAATCAAAGAGCGTTAGCAACAACCATTGGAATTATGGCAAATATTCTCTCTTCATAAACAGTTGAAGCTTTAGTGGATGTAAGATTTCAATTAAATTAGGGTTGGAATGTTTCTAGAAAGTCTTTTAAATTCATTGAATTATATTGATATTCTGAGGATAAGAATCAAGATTTCCTTATTTATTGAATCCAAACAACTATAAAATTAAAAGAACATTTCTTCATCGATGTGAAGATATCCGACGTTAACTATGGTGCGAGATAGTAGTCAAATTTGAAATGGTAATGTAACTTTTACAACACCAATCATGTATTTTTAGGTATTAATAATAAACATAATAATTTTCGTGGCTTGTTTGCTGGTTTTTTTGATAGCAACTTTCTGTGTAACTCGTTCGGAACCACTAATGTCACCATCAAAAAGTGCTAATCAGCCGCAGATGCCATTTTTCTTTCTTGATTTGTCTGCTGCTTTAACTCCAACTCAAAATTTTCGATTTCAGAGCGAAAGATTCTGAAAACTATTCATTTTATAGGTTCTGCAAACTTTTCGTTGCACGAATAACTGCCTCTTTACTAAAAGTTATTGCAAGACCATTTAGCTTTTATATCATTATTTTTGTCAATTTTATCATTAATTTAAGATCGTTACGAACATTATACGCAAACTTTTGATAAATTAGTTTATAAAAAAGGAAAAAAAAATATCAATATGAATATTTGAAAAAAGAAAGAAATATGAAACAAATAATTTCGAATGATATGAGACAATAATTAAGTGAAGCTTCTTAAATTACTTTCCCGTTTTACATTATAGGTTTCCAATGAAACTAATGGAATTGGGTTGTTTTACATATCAGTGTACAGTTAAAAAGCTAAAGAATCTTCTGTTCAATAAGTTGAAAACAAATCATGTCAATAATTAACGAAATATTCTGTCAAAACACTAATGAATTTTCCCTTTTCTGCTCTCATTGTAAATTTTGAGATGAATTTACACGAGCGATGAAAATAGGATAATGATGAAGAAATTTCCAAGCAGAAAGAGAGAGAAAGAGAGAAAAAAAGAAATCTTATGTTTGTAATATCCAGTAAGAGTCATTCCTTTCCTGTATAGCTCCTACAAAGTACTAATGTTAGCAACGAAATGAGTATGCTTTTATGCATGCTATATCTATATATATGTAATAAGATAATGCTACTAATCAATTTCAAACCCATCTCGCAAAATTTAAATTTAAATATCTTTTCTGAAAAGCATATCGAAGAATGAAATAAGACAGAATGTAAATGAAAATGAAAAAATGAGAAATGAAAGAATAATAATACTTGGCTAGTTGTATGTTCCATTTTCATAGATTAGATTTCACGGACCGCATCTTAAGGGGTTTTTGTCACCAACCTTTTGTCGCCTTGTTGCAGTCTTTTCTAGATTTGTGGGTGTGTGGTGGCTTCAATTTTTGTCTTAAATTTTTAAGTGGAAGTAAGATTAGAAGGAGAATTTCAATTTAGCAATATACTACTATTTGTTCTTCCATTGGTCAATACCTTCAATGAAAATAAATCAGGGTGAAATGAAAAATGAAAAAAGTGACAGAGAAGAGAAAGATGACTTCCATTTTTGTTCATTAATTTGTTTTTTATAACAAATTTTGTGAGAGTGATGTGATGAGATAATAAACGTTCCATACGAATATGAAAGTGGTGACTGTATTGACCTTGCTATTTTTCACACAAGCAATTGACGAGGTTTCAATCTTGCATAGCAAGATGAAGCTTGAACAGTCGTCTAGTAGCAGTTGAGCTTCAACTTAGCTTTTCCAAATTCGCTTATTTTATATCGGAATGGCAGGAACCTGAAATTAGTCAGTCCTATGTAGTAGGAAATTTTAAATGCAACCTGTCAGTCGTGGAGTCTCTTCCTAACATCTATCCAATAGACTAATAAATGGAATGTGCTTATGCATTCAAAATAATTTTTTATGTTTCTCTTGTTCTCTCGTGTACTTTGATAAGTGCTTTGATTTTACCTTTAATTTCAGTCGATAACAAGCCAGCCGAGAGCTTGAAAAAAACGTTCAGTATAAAATAGTAGTATTAAAAATTCGCGTGGTTGAAATACTCACTGAAAAAGTAATTCTTTACTGTTTAATATTTATATATTTTATTAGGTTTGTGCACTTTAGTTCGGATTGATCGGTGGTCTGAGAAATAAAAGAAAGTACTTGATTTTACTTGATATGTTATTCCTTTGTTTATATATGTTTTATTGATGCTGGAGTTCCGCAACTTCTTAATATCCAATATTCTGAATTCTGAGCAGCGTGTGATTGTCAGTATTATTTACTGTATGCTCAGTTTAACGGATTATTTAAAAACATGAAGTTTCTATAATTTATCTGAAATATTTCAAAACATTTTTTTGTTAGAAAAGCATTTCTACTAATGATTATGGAAATATTAAGCAATAGATGTTTCGTGCAAACGCAAATTTAATAAAAGATAAATATTTAAATTCGAATAAAAGTAAGAAATGAGGTGTTTCTTTAGACGAATAGAGGAGGAAAAGTCAGTGACATCCGTTCTAGAAGACGAATGCCAAATGCTTATTTAAAGAGAAGAAAAAATCGAAATGAAGTTGTTAGCTTATATGATATATAATCCCACAATAATTATTATCTGTCTTTACTTTTATAAAAATGACGGTGATATTGTAATATTTATTTCTGCACGTATTTGGAATTTAAAACTATTGAAAATTGCTGTTATTGGTTTTTTTTTTTTCAAATTCGAAAAACTCAATAAATTTGCTTGCTCGAGAATTTTTCAGGTCTAACACACAGTCTTTGCTATTTTCGATTTAGGACATCGTAGTTCGAGGTTTTCGTTCGTTCCATTCATGAATTCTTGAAATCATCTCGTTTTTTAATGTAGAGACGGGAATAAATATGAGAATGCCCTTTCGAATTCGGAAACTTTTCATTATCAAATTAGTATGATTGCTGTTTTTTCGATCTTTTGAAAATTTGAAGCTGTGAAATCTGAATTTGAATATGTTCACACACTGATGTAGGTAATCATGACTTGGCTCCTACACAGAATTAAGGTGATTTATAAAAAAGTAAAACCAAAGTGCGAAAGATTGGGAACTAGAGAAGCTTTATAGGTAGCGCCGAGCAGGGAGGTTAGAGGAAGATGGCGAAGAAGTAGAAGCTGGTAGGAAGAGGAAAGGTATTCTATAATGGTTTGTCCTATGGCTTGTGTCGAAAAGAGATCGATCTGCTCTCGGTTTCACAGCGGCAGTGGTGGCCTCTTGTTTGTTCCTTTAAACTGATTTACAGCTTATCTTCCTCATCTTTAATCCAAATAATCAATGCTTCACTCGTCTAACTTATTCTAGTCGATGGGAACTTGATGATACAAGGTTGGATTTCAAAACGTGATGATATATTAATTGTAGTTGTTAGGTTGCAGTGCACTGTAAAGTCGTATATATAAAACGAGTGGTGAGGAGAGATTTGTCTCTCCTCAATGGTTCTCATAAAGCTCGATCAAATTTTATTTATTAATCTGGAATGTCATTATCTTGGGTATCTTTGTTTCATTTTTTATCATTAAGTATGTGGTAACCTTAGAATCATAAGTAGTCAATAAGAATTTTGTGTCATTGATATATGTGGGACACATATCAATGGCACAAAATTCACACAATAAAGTTGGGATGAGCTGAAGATACTTCGAAGTTGCTTAAATACAATGAAATTTCCAGTGTGTTATTAAAAGATAATTTTCTTTAAAGCGAGCTGAAATAGAAATTTACGTGAACATTGGTGGAGAGAGTGCACAAATCTATATATCGTTTTGGAAGAGAAAATGTTCTGCATATGAAATCATCGGGTATGGTGCGAATAAATGGAATGCTAACAAAGGATTTATGGTTTTCCATGCCTGTCTAGCTTATTCTTTTCCTTTTTTATTTCTCGTGATAACGTGGTATTTTTTGTGATAAAATGGTAGTTTTTCCAAAAGTAGCAAGAAGATACTAATTCGTTTGATTGATTATGTGAATGCCGACAGCTTTCATAATTAGCCGAATTAGAAGTCGCAGTGATACAATTATTTCATCATATACTAACAGTTGTTTCATCCATCGGAGTTGTCCGTTTTATGAGGAATTTCGTGATCTTAAGTTGAACATCCTTTTTCTTCCTCAGAAGTAAGCTTTTGAATTAATCTATACTTACTGATTTATGGGAACAATTTCGATTGTTATTTTTGATCATTTCTTATTTTCATTAAAAAAACGTACTCCTTGTTTTTATTAATGTTTGCAGTTACCACTGTTTATTGTTTTCATATGTATTTGATATATTTCATTTTTCCATACAGAATATTCGCTGAAAGAAATAAAAAAGTAACATTGCCACTTAATGGATGTTAAATCAATATTCAAATAAATATTAATAAGGGAATAAATCAGGAAAATAGTTCATTATGCTTAACAGAAAACATCATTGCTTAAGACTTAACTTCCTCTCGGCTATGTTAATTACGGCATTAATTTTCATAGAATTTACATGAACAGTAATTGTATTTGGTGAGTTTTTTTTTTTTTTTTGAACTTTATCTTTCAACTTTTTTGTCGTTTCTGAAAATATTTATCAAGTAATTTGAATTTGAAGTCTTTGGACTTATTTCTGCAAATGAAAACTTAAATTTCGTTTTTTAAATGTCAAGATTTGAAAGCATTTTATCAGCCTATTATTTAATCTTTCATTTTAATTGCAACGAAAGTGTTAGATGAATATGAGAAGTGTGAAGTATTTAAAAAATTTCAATTCAAATCCTTTCACACATCGCTTGCTATTAGAAAGTTATGGAACACTTTTGAGAAATAATGAATGTCAGTATTTCATTTGTCATTGTAACGACAATTGGAAAATCTGAAA